CAACCACTTAAAGGCGCCCAAAAAACTCTTTCACTCCAGCTTTCACTCATTAAAATGCATGCCAAAAATTCAATTTTACCCTTATTTTGATATTTCTTTCACCATTATACCCCCAGATAGTTGTTTTCTTATACTTAAGTAGTCGACATCAAACTGAACTTGTTCGCTTAATTCGATTAATTTGATTTCGCAGACATAATTTGCGCTGTTGATAACTATAACAATCAGAACTTTAAATTTTAATGCTAAAAAATTCCAAAAGTTGAGTTTGATGTTGGATATAAGAAGAAAACTATCAGAAAAAAATTATGAAATAAATTTCAAAATAGGAGTATAATTAGATTTTTGGTGTGGATTTTAATGAATGAAAGCCGGAGTGAAAGCGTTTTTTGGGCACCTTTGAGTGGGTGTGGCGGGCGCAAATGTGGCCATGGAGTCAAACCAGTTCAAGGTTGTTGTGCATTCATGAGACACTATTACATATCCCAAGGGCATCAAGATCCGTGAGTTGATAGTACACAACCTCCCCTCCTTAGCAGGGTTAGCAATGCTAACTTAGAATCAGGCGAGCTAGTCATCGGAAATGTAAATATCAAATTACCAAGAACTATACTAACATATATAATGATGAGTGGAACATGCAGTTTGACCATCAGCAGCCTTTTAACATAGATTACGTTATACAAGGGATCTTGTGTAACATTAAAATGTAATAAATTAAGCTACATAAACCTAAATAAAAGTTTTCTGCAATAGATTATATTATAGGGGTAGCTTGGCATTAAGTCGAACGGACATGAACATCAAGATAACTTCTGATGGTCCTAATATTCCACAGGAAGGTAAATTTAAAATATCTTGGACATTTTTCAAGAGAGACCGTTCTTGATGACTACCCTTAAAAAATTTGTAACACGTTTACCATTTACTATTTAAAACTTATAAAAGCAAAGTGGGGCTGAAAGTGCTGAAAAGTAAGCCTTGACTCGTTGATCGTCGTTGAACTTAAGGCATTCTATAGTCCAAATCTCGTCGATTTGTAAGTTCACAATCATATTGGCTGTAACATTGAAGTAAAAAGTTGTCATAAGGAAAAAAGTAACGTATGGTATCGTTTTGACAGTATTCAACGAGTTATTTTTTTAAAAATTTCTCATTTGATATGGCCGAGGCCCTCATCATTTTTCAACGAGTTATTAAGGAGACCTTAAAATCGGAATTGACGAATCTCATGGATAACATTTTTATTTAATTTTATTAAAATAGAAATTTTCTCTGTAGTCCATTACGTTACATAAATATTTCAGCACAGCATCTCGTTTTTTGAGCTTATTTTATTGCGGCTAAGTTGATAATTTAGAAAAATTATAAATTAACGATTTACTTTTTTAAGGATCCAAGGTTGCATAGAGCTCAACGGATAACGGAAGGTTAGTAAAACGTCAAACATTTTTGCTTATTGCGTACGCTCGATTATTTACATTGCATTGATGTAAAATACACAGTGTACTAAACAATTCATCAATTCCTTCCAATAATGCTGGTTGTCATTTGTACATTAACGATCTCATTATCAATGTGGCATCATGATTGCCATTGTTCCCTTAATTTTCTCATTTAAGAAAACCTTTCTGAGGAAGTATTTTATAGCTTTAATCAAAAGCTGTCAAGGAAATAAGTAATTATGGCTACCGTAAATATTGAGCCGATTCATGAAAGCGAATCTAGCCATATGAATAACATTTAATTATAGAAATTATTGGTCATTTACTTTAATGCTTAAAATTAAACTTTTTTAATCATTTGCAAACAATATAAAAAATAGCAAAATGGGCTATCATCATCTATAATTAGCACTTAAAAATGCTGAAAATAATAGGCTAACAATTTTTTAAGCGACAAATATGCTTTCACTAGTTCAAAATGTATGTACATATTTCTACAACTGCATTAAGATCAATGCACCAGATAATTCTCGAATAAATTAATTTTAGTAATAAATAACTAGTGTAGATAAATGCAAAAGCTAATCTTCAAAATAAAATTGTGACGTGCGAAGGCCAAACTGGAAGCACGGAATTACATAAATATACCACGGAAGGTGCGACATATGTTGCTGCAATAATAAATGCATAATACTTATTTATTACATTATTTAGTTCTCATGGTAACATCCTGGCCACGCTATCAGTCCCATCGAATTTCCTTGATAACTTTAAATTAAAAATTTTATTAACCTTCTTGATTAGTTGATGTGGAATTCTTCTCTCCCTCCATTTTAGACTATTTTTAATACATATGTAGTCTATTAAGGTAAAGTGTTACTGATATTAAACCCCGTAGAACGCATTAATTTTGGAGAATTTAAATTGCCCAAAGCACCCACCGCGGAACGAACGAAATTTATTGGCAAAGTGTCACATTCCCGCGTCAGAATTTTTTGTGACACTGACGCTTATATGGGGCTAAAAACGGACCTTTTCCTCGACATTAATCAATACATGGCGGAGAGATCGATGTCGGTTCGAAAATGCCAAGTCAAACCTAAAGTCTAACAAAAGTCAGAAATACTCAGAAATATGGCTCTTAATCCAGTTTTTCGAGGTTTTTATTACTGTAGAGCCCTGCGCTAAGGTCGGCGGGTTTCCACCCAATATGAAATGGTTGAGGGGGTGTTCCATTTTCAGCAGGAAGTTAACCAAATATTTTTTTAAACTATCTCCTCTCCTTAGTCGAGGGAATTTGGCGATTCTTGCCCAATTCTGCCGATTCCCGCCAAAACCATGAATAGACCCCGATAAGATGATATTTGAACGTCTATTTTGTGATTGCCAAACCCTTAGATTATATAATGTAAAATTATCTAGTTTTTTGGTTCTGAAATGTTTCCGTCGTATAGTAATTCTCATCGATAAACGGATAATTTCCTCTTGTTTTTCCCCGTGCCGCTTGAGGAAAGAGTTGATTTTTTTTAGTTTAGAATCTTTCACCGGATGGGTGACCTTGTGGTACTTACAAAGCTTGATGGCCCTTATGTGTGGGTCCAAGGTCTCTGCACTTGGGGGATTGCTTTGAAGATGAATTAGATGTTACAACAGGTTGTCTCAGGTTATTCGATTTTTTTAAATTAAAAAACTCCGAGTTACAGAAGGACAACGCGTGTTTTTGGGGTCCGACCTTCAGGCCGTAGGAGAATCCTGTCTAACCTTGTTTCTTTATCTTAAAAATTGGTAACCCCAGTGATAAGCCCCTTAGTGCTAATTTTCAAATGTATAGCATCATCATGAATAAACTTAAGGTTTAAATTAGGGGCGACTTGAAAAAAAAACTGAATTTGCTTATCACAAAAATTTGTAAGTACTCTGATAAGTTCTTAAACCCCAATTTTCGAATGGATATCATTATATTAAATTCCGATAAGCTTAAATTTCTAATCTGGGGTGATTTGGCAGAAAGAATTTGCTTACCATCGAAATTTAAATGCTCTGATAAGCTCCGTTGCGCTAATTTTCGAATGGATGTCGTCATTATAAAGTCAGACAATGCATTAAAGTTTTAAATTTGAGGAGATTTGAGGGTATTTTAATAACTTTAAAATTACGATCATGAGATCCCTCCCCCAGAAACTTTGCCCTCAGAAAACTCATGGTTCAGGTCATTTTTATTCGGGCAATAAAAGCTTGTAGCTCGTCTCATGGAGAAACTTCTGGCATCAGGCTGTCAGACTCAAAATAACCGCAACCACAAGTTTTTTTTAACGATTTATGTGTAGGTAAAAAACCGCTAATTTTCGAATTTTGAAACTTTTGATGCATCAGAATGTTCGTATTCATAGGACAAATCAAATACCAAATACAAGTTATGGTCTAATTCCGAGTGTACATTGTATTTCTCATTTTCCCCAGTTTCTTTCCTCGATAAACGGATGGGGGGGGGGTGGTTGCATACATATACTTCAAAAATGGCTATGCTGTTATGCTGTATGGGCGGTTGCACCCGGTCATCTACCAGTAAATTTGTATATCTAATTCGAAGAAATCGATGCAACGTGGAATGGAACATTTCCCATAATAATGTAATGATACTTGTAAATTCAAGTCACACATAAAAATGTTCAAAATTTCCTACTTAGTCTGAAAATTTAATTGGTATTGATTTAAATTGTGGCCTAAAGAATTTTGTTTCAATCTGCCCCAAAAATTTTCAAAACCCACAAATACCCGCAAAAACCCCATTAAACATTAGGGTTTTACGGAGATTCTACGTATACCCCAAAAACCAAAAAAAAACCCAACCCACAAAAACCCAGGGTGGTGTACACTGATGAATTGTAGCCACTGAATGTATGTGAAAAATGCTACTTGCGTTTTAATTTTATCTTATCGGGCTCAAAAGTACTGGGGAGTAACACTTTATCTGAATAGACTAGGTACATAAGAAGTTTAAATTGACAAAATTTGCAATTACACTTTTAACATTTCTTACATCTAACATTTCTGTGGTGCAATAAATACATACTTATGTACGTACGTATATAAATACATATATATGTACATATGTACATATGTAAATACATACATATGCACGCATGGCGCTGGTCGTTTAGCTTTTTTCTCAATAGAATATGTGCACATACATCTCTGCGAATACAACTTATACTACAATGAATAAATGCCACTCTTTATACATATGCACGTATCGTTTATTTCTACCATTACATTATGATTATTCACCAAAGAAATATTAAATAGTCTGTTGCTAAATAATCTCCGTGCAGGAAATAATATTGAGGACATCGGAGTGAAGAAATTGACTCATTCATTCTCAATGTCATTTTATGCTACCGTGTAAATAATAAAGTGACTGGAAATGCATTAAATAAAATCACAACATACGTACTCCTGCTCAGTCTCATTTGAGATAAGATGATATGCAAATTTCAGAGATATGAATGTTTGACGGGGAGGAAAGAATTTGTATGATGGTGGTGGTGTATAAGACGCTGAAAGTCTTGCATACTTAAATATCCACCTTTACTTTAGTTCACTCTCGTTACTTCTAAGAGCAAGCAAAATATTTTGTGAAATTGTTTCTTTTCATCAGTTTTTGTACTAAAAAAATATGGAAGGTAAGAATTTTGTATTTCTATTTTTAAGAGTTTAAGGTGCGTGTGGAAGGGGTGTATTTATAAACTTGTTGACAGATCTGGAAGTGGTCACATTTTATTTTTTTCCTGGGGAACATAAATTTGTCGCTGGAATTGGTTACATATTCCATCCAGACTTTTCTTTATTATTCAATTTGTAGTATATAAATTTACTTTGTACGACGATTTAGTCCAAATTGGTTTAAATTCTCTTTCTTATCTCACCGTAGTCAATTTATTTCTCGCCTTTGCGACTTTTCGTCACCCGCCACCACCCCCACTGGGTTCACCACCTACGCTTCGTACACTTTTCCCAATTATTATTTTCATTTGTTTAATTTCCTAATCCGTTTTCACATAGAATCGTGGTCAAAATTTTAATTTTTTGTACTCAGGAAGTTTCGTTCTCAGGTTGGACATCATTTGCCAAAATTAATGTGGGTGGAGTAGAGTGAGGGGATGTGGTATTGTTTGGATGGGTTGAGAATTAATATTTGAATTTCTTAGAAATTATGATATTGCTGATAAGTTCCTTGCATAGATTTATTTTATTCTGTGTGATTAATTAATGACGGTTGAACTATTTATACATACATATTAGAGAACCTAAGATAAATATAATTAACTAAGAATTAAAACTAAAAGAAGTTAGCAAATGCCTAAAAATATATTTGAGTACGATGACTAAATGTGTTAACCCCTTCAAAATGTAAGTTACTGGTGGCTGAAAATTAATTAAATTTCAATTTTTTCAGGTATTCTAGCCGAGCGAAGACGGGAAAATCTGTGGCGCCGGGCTGACAATCAACGCCACTTGAACGCGCTCCAAGACCAGCTTAAGGTTCTTAATGACCTAATGGTTTTATCGGAAGAGGAAGGCAAGAATAATAATTTTAATAAAAAATACATTTCACTAATATTTAAAAATTATTTAATGATGCTTGACTACAAAATTATAGACAAACTCAGATCGGATGTTTTGGCTGATATTCGCGACACAAAAATTCTATTAGGGATAGAACCAGCCCCACCGATTCCAATTGAGGATCCGGAATCTGATAACTCGCAACGCCGTAAGTATAAAAATTATTAGTTATAATTAATCAAATAACCCCATAACAATGTATATACAGAGGGTGTTTACATATTTAGTAGAAAGACAATTTAATTGGTAACTGCGAACCCATTATCTATTTTGGCGCCAAATTTTGAACATGCATTCCCCAAGGGCACGGTCACACATGTATAGGGTGACCATACGTCCCGGTTTTCAAAAGTTGTCCCGGCGTCCCGAAAATGTCCGGTTTTGACAAAGTGCCCCGGTTTTCAAAATCGTAGGACAAAATTAAATTATCTCGATTTTTCACCAAAATATTGATGAAAAGGTAGATTTTAGCACATATTTAAACACCAGTAACGTGCATCTTTTAGGGGCCATCTCTGAAGATAGAAATTTAAAACTTTAAAGGGGTGTTGTCTTTACCTTCAAGATTTTGTGTGCCAAAATTAGCAAAAATTAGCAAAAAAAGTTACCAATTTAATTGTCTTTCTACAAAATCTGTAAACATCCTTTAGATAAAAACAATTTACTTACAAAATTAGGACCACGAGAGCAATTGTATCCACCCCCGTACCGCGAGCTTCCTAGCGCCAGAGAAGGGACAACGGTGCAAAACATTGCCCTAAAGTTAGGTGCATCGGCCCTAGTGGGGTCCATGGTAGGTTCCGCAGTTGGGTCGCGGTGGGGTGAGGTTGGAGCCGGTCTTGGTGCAGGCGTGGGCGGGCTAGTTGGGACCACAGGTTTTGCCATCTTTTTGGCATGCAAAAAGGTTGCGTGCCAACCTCCTCCGGAAACAACTGGATCATCTGTCTAATTTAAATATTTGTGGATTCAACTACTTTTACTCAATTCATTCAAAATTTTGCTACAATGTAGTCCGATATATTGTTACTAATTAGTATAAAAAATAATTTTGAAATATCAACCTGTTCTTGGGAAAATTGTACTCGAGTTTGAGATTAAAAATCGTAGCATTAAATAAGTTACATACTGTATGATAAGTTATCATTGATAACCAATCTGAACATAAATTCATATAATGTCTTTATTACCCTAATTAATTATCCATAGAAATAAAATTGTTTGTGCGCATAAAATTGGAATTCTCTTTAAGAGCGTACTCCTGCTGGAGATACGCTTAGTTCACACTAGGCAATAATCGAGGGAGGATTCGCGAAATGTAATTTTCCCAAAACTCGTGTGAGAAATTCGTGATTTTTGCGTGGCTAATTTATGGATGACCCCCCACCTCAGATAAGACAATCCCGGTGAAGCCTGATAAATAGTCTCATTTATTTTATTAGGTCGCCTCCGCTTCCCATGCCTCCACCCAGGTTGTACTGCCCGCTTTGCGACACGTGATCTTTCACTCTCTCACGCCGCTGCGGCGAGCCATCCCATTGTTCGAAAGTGCGACAACTGCGAGCTCACCTTCCCCTCGGCCGAATCCCTGACCCAGCACAAATTAGAGTTTCATAAAAAATGTGAAATCTGTGGGCTCGTATTTCTCAGATCCAATTTCCCTTACCACGTCCAGAAATGTCGGGAAGTTAACGGCGAAAGCGTTAGTAAAGGCGGAACCATTGACCGGAAGTCGGCTCCTATGAGGGTCAAAAAGCCTGCAAGGGTGGGGAAGAACCACTGTTCGAAAGTGCCACTAGTGCGGCATCTCTTTCTCCTCGGCCGAATTCCTGAACCAGCACAAATTTAAGTTTCGATTGGAGGATAATTCCTCCCGCTCATCTCCTCCCCCTCGTTTGCTCCCGCCCAACCCCTCCCGCTCGTCTCCGCCCGTATACATTTTCCTCCCCGCAATATCTCCTCCCCGCTGATCTCCTCCCGTATACATTTTCCTCCCCGTTGTGTCGCTTTTCCTCGGTATTCTATTTTGTCTGACTACCCAATGTTATAAGATCCGAGATTTGGGTCCGTTCAGATTAGGTGGCACGGTTTTGGGGATTTTTACAAATCTTCAAATAATTATGAATATCATCTACAAAAATATATATTTCTGTCTTAAATTTTGATTTGAAAGTTTAAAACCGAAATTTTACCGTCTCCCACCATGCAAGCATATGCATAAAGTTGATTTTAATATGTCTTCTGAATTCTGCATATTTTGGTACCAAAAGGTTCAAAATCAGACAATTAAAAAGTTTTTCCTATGACATTTTCAAACTATGTCCACGCTAAAGTTTCCATGCATATATTTATCATTTAATGATGCACACATCAAATTATTGCACGTTGTAAAAAGAAATGCCTCACCTAAGTTTGTTTTTGATTTTTTTTGTTTTAAATTATGATGATATGGAAACTCGTAATGAATACCCTCAATTATTTAAAAAATCGTCAGAACCATGTCACACACTTTGAACGGCCCTAGATCCCCTATCTTGAATATATTGGGTAGTCAGACAAAGTTGAATACGGAAGGAGGAGACGCAACGGGGAGGAAAATGTTTACGGGAGGAGATCAGCGGGGAGGAGATAGTGCGGGGAGGAAAATGTAAACGGGAGGAGACGAGCGGGAGGGGTTGGGCGGGAGCATATGAGGGGGAGGAGATGAGCGGGAGGAATTCTCCCATCACCTTAAGTTTCACACGGCGTGTGGAATTTGTGGGGGCGACTTTCCAAAATCCGATTTCTCTCAGCACGCCCAGAAATGCTGCGAAATTAACGTCAGGATCGCTGGATCCGGGGACCTCGAGTCGGCCACGAAACACGTCTCAGAGAAGGGTGTCGTCACGTATGACTGTACCCGATGCAATGTCAGGAAGCTGTCGGAGTGGGATTTTTTGCTACACATTTGTTTCCAACACAGAGCTCGGCGGATATCATGGATATTGGAGGTTTGGAGGTTGGAGGGAGAGAATTTTTCATGGATATTGGAGGGTGGAGGTTGGAGGGCGAGAATTTGGCCTGGATATTGGAGGTTGGAGGTTGGAGGGCGAGGTTTTGGCCCGGATATCGGATATTTGGAGGTTGGAGGGCGAGAATTTAACATGTTGAACCTCCATGGATATTGGAGGTTTGGAGGTTGGAGGGCGAGATTCTGGGATGGATATTGGAGGGTGGAGGTTGGAGGGCGAGAATTTGAGATGGATATTGGAGGTTGGAGGTCGGAGGGCGAGATTTTGGGATGGATATTGGAGGGTGGAGGTTGGAGGGCGAGATTTTGGCCCGGATATGGATATATATCCGGATATTTGGAGGTTTTCGCCCGATATCCGCCGAGCTCTGCTCCAACATGAGGGTGGGTTTTTGAAAATTGTTGATTTGTTCAAATGTACATACACGCTTAAAAAGAATGGGACGCTGCCCTTTTCAAAATTATTTATATAAGTAACAGCCCTTTGAATTCGGTAGTAAGTATTTCACAAGGTAAAATTACCTGAAATTAAATAAATTAATTAAAAGCACACTCTGAAAAGTATAATTTTATATTTTTAAGAGTGTGAAACATAACCAAGTTGCTAATTTATTTTTAAAAAAATGAAGGCATGGTTTTATTAAATTTTAATAGCTGTACATATTTTTCGATACTATTGTCCACTAATTTTTTGCTTGACTTCTTTAGAAACCCAGCGCTTTAAGTGTCCAAATGTCACGTGCGAAAGGGTCTTCTCGTCCAAAATGGCGCTGAGCGTTCATTGCCGGGAGATGCATACCATCCCCGGCGGGAAACTTTGCGAACGGTGCGTGATCATCTTCCCTTCCCAGGAGGCACTAGATTACCACGTGCGGCAAGGGCACAAGCCTGTCGGACACGTGACTTCGAATTGCAGTGGGAAATTGGACTACGGAAAAAATTGGATGAACATGATACAAATTTAGAGTGTCTTCCTATTCACAAGTGTAAATTCTGTGGTAAAAATGTGTTGGGAACTGCGTACCTGGTTTCGGAACACACGAAATCAGGTGTCGACCTGAGGTGGAATCGTGGGGGAAATAAATTAATGGAGGGAGGAGAGGTGTTCAGCCAATTAGCAATTGTATAGGAAAGGACTTCATAAATTGTGTATTTTCATAAATATGTATGTAATATCTATAAAGCAGAGTAAAAAAATGTAAGTTTTTATCTTCCTCTGAAAATGCAGAGCGATGTCTTGTCTTCTTGTAATTTAACACATACATTTTTGAGGGGCTATGCATGGAATACTGCGACGGGGTAGTAAGCAAAACGCAATAACTTTCTGCAATGGTGACAATAAAGATGTGGCAGGATGTGATAATTGATCAAATTCTTTATAAATTCTCCCATTAAGGACTCGATCGGACGCATGACACAATGCACTTTATTTATGATACATACATACATACGAATGAACCAATTACAGATAATATTTGCGTATTCCGATTGTGAGTTTGGCTTTGCATCATTATAGTTTCACAACGTATTAATCAATGCACCTACATATGTACGTAAATATGCACATATGTCGCACAATTGGTATTCTCGCATTCTGGAATTTTAAAAAGTCCGGCCGGTGTGTTAATGGTCGGTTATACATAAATACCTTAGCAAAATCTGGTTTCAAATCCACCTCATAATAAAGTCCCTACATACTGAACTTAAATACATCTTAACTACACAATATTAATTGACTGATACCGGTGCTTCATACGTACAAACATATGTATCACACATAATACAATTAAATGCATAAGTTTCGCTTCAAAATCGATTTGTTTTCTTAATCCTCTCGTGTTTGGTTTAGAAGATGTCTAACATTTCTAAAAATAAGAACCAGTTTGCTTCCCCCATGATGAACGGAATCGGGAAAAAAATTCTTCCAAATAACCAGAGCATATATTAAAATCCACATAAAAATTATAGATATTAAACATCAATTCATGCAAGTATCTTACTTTATAAATCATATGCATACATGCATACGATTACAATTGGTATACGATACATACATATGTATGATAGGCGCTTGCAAATTTTTTTAAGATAATTTGCAATGCAAATTTTGCATCCAGGTTTGCCGTGTTTCTCTTACTTAATTCAAGAATAAGCAAACCGTAACTTTTTGGGGACTGTCCTACAAGAATAAAAATTATTAGCATGTCATTATTTTTCACAGTGTTGAATGACATACATAGATTTATTGACCTACCAATAATTTTATCGGTATTAAAAGTATTACTAAAAATAAACAATTCGATTAAGATAAGTTGAAACAATCCTAAACAAACCAAACAATGTTAAGAAAAATCGTGATCCAATTTGTTATAGATATTTTATCGTACTTTAGAAATATATAGTTAGTTTAGTGCATGCCGGCAAAACATGTCTGATTAATGGTTATAGCTACACTATTGACTGGGAACTGGTTAAGGGTAATGGATTTGATTTGAATTTCAGCCCGCTCGTAATGTTAATCAAATGGGCGCGCGTTTTTGGCCTGAAATTCCATCACCCTTAACCAGTTCCCAGTCAATAAATACCCCACGTTGTACAGTTACACTAACTAAGGAAACCAGCCAGACCAAAACTTCAACTTATTTGAACTTGGTCTACTGATGTCTTGCAGACTGGAAAAATCACAATCGGTCATTGAAACCTTACCCTCTGCGTTTAACTTTTTCGACTTACACTTCAAAAGCTGTATACTATCTGGAAATTTTTTAATTCTAATTAAATTTCTGCTTTCAACATTACTTAAGCATGCACCCTCCCCAGCAACCTTCGTAGCGTAACAAGTACAATATTTGGCAGTGGTATTAGCTGACTCTATTATTATATCCCACTTGAAATAGGGCCCAAATTTCACAAAAGTTGAATCTTCAATAGTATGATTATCACCCCCCAAAAAGCGCACGCCATGGCATGATATACCTTTCAGTACAGGATCATTTTCGAAGACAATCCTTTTGAGAAGATGATGCGTCCCAGAAACTAGAATTCCGTCATCACTATTTCCCAAGATACGTCCATAATCGTGCAATTGCTTGAATTGTTGTCCAGCGTAATACACCAACCTTCAATGTGTGTAAATTTTACGCGATAAATCTTGACATCGCTCCCCCAGATTTTTATCC